GGAGCAATCATGTGGACCGTGGTCGCTTGAGATCTATTGGATCTGGTTGTTCTTCTGCAGAGGAATCTAAAGATGGGAGAAAATGTCTTGGGTTATTAAAATACTGTGTTTGTACTAGCTATTGGAACATCTAAGTGTCAGTGCTGGAAAGAAAGATTCGTAGAGAGTGTATGTTAGAAAAGTTTCTGTGCATTGAGGCAGTTGTTAAGTGCTCCAAATATGACTATTCTGATTCATAGTTTAAAAATGCTATTTATAGAAAGAGTATAAAAGATTTTTTGTTTTTATTTTTTAGTATAAACATTTTTATGAATTTAATGGAAGTTAGCTTCCAGTTTTCACTTCCCAAATTCTTGATTTACAATATTTTTGGCTCCATCACATGTTTTTATTTCAAGATTTCTTTTGCTTTACTTTCAGAACAGGTGAATTTTAATATTGTAAAAAGTATTTAGCCAACACAGAAATAAAGCAACACTTTGAAATTAGTTGGGGTCAGTGCACTTCCTATTGGGAATCAGTTTGAGATAGATGAACCAGTGCTCTGTTGGATGGGAATAGGCGATCACAGGTGCCTACCATTTGACTTGATAAGTGTACCAGCAAAATTTACTCATTGTGCTTTGACGTAGGGTACAGCCTAATCACTCTTTCGCTGACACATACCAACTACACAAAAAGCCAAATCCAAAGCCTCACTGTAAGAGTTGGGGTTCCAGAAGACAAGTGATGGTTTAATCACGTCAAACTTTCATGTAGAGTATAACCGCATTAAATTAGTACTGCTGAAACAATACATGGAGGTTTCACAGTAACATCTGGAGGTTCCTTCTAATGTAAATATAAATAGAACCACTGAAGACTTTAATATTATGTAAACATATTATGGGTTTATAGATTTAATGATGAAAAGGAAAATGGAACCTCCATTCCACATTCCATCATTTATCTCTAGAAAAGACGAAACACTAAAAAAATATATAGAATTTAAAGTGCCCATATTTCTAAGCCTACATTTAAGGAAACAATGTCTTAATTTTTGGATAGTGCCACTCTTCACCTTGAATGTGAAACTCTAAACACATAATATTGACAGTCATCATCTAGACAAACCCATCATACATTCTTCAAATCACTGAAACTTGAGATTCTTAACATTTTCTAGGTTGATAAAATAGATGTGGAAGCAGCATATTCAAGGAAGATCTGCTTTTTCTTTGCCACACTGGACTTCAAGCTACCATTTGGATTGGGTTTAGAAGTTGGGGACGTAAGAGGTGTTTCTTAGCCTGAGTCTCTTAACAATACAAGTGTGGACGGGAGAATGGGACCATGAAGAGACTGGCTGTACAGTGCAGGGGACCTCCATTTTCCTTGGTGGTGGTATTAGGTGGATTTGTGGCAGCTGAAGTTAACTGAGAAGAGTTTCTTGAAAAGGCTACCTTAGTTGTGCTATTTGAATAGACTTGCATGGGGAGGAGCAGCCCCAGCCGGACCCCTGCCCCCATTGCTTTCCCCATCTGCTCTTTCTGTCTGTCGCGGCACTGGGGGTGCAGAGCGCCACTGCTGGGGCAGGCGTCGCAGGTGACTTTCCATCTTCTTTTCATGCTTCCTGCATCAGTCAATATTTTGCTTATCGAATCTTTTAATATAGCAGCTTGAAGCTTGAATTTTTTTCTTTAGTTCTTGAAGTTTAAAATATGCTGAGCATGCACCTTTTTTTTGTTTAATTCTAGATCTTTGCCCATTTCATTATAATATTTTCTTTGTCTTCTGAAGCCCCACTTTGAAAATTTCAAAATATACATAAGGAAGAGTTGCCTTCTCTGAGTAGAGACAACCATAATGGCATGTAGGGTATAGGAGTTACATGTTGGGCTGCTAACCACAAGGTCAGCAGTTTGAAACCACCAGCTGCTCCATGGTGGAAAGATAAGGGTTTCTATTCCCATAAAGACTTACAGTCTTGGGAACCGGTGGGGGCAATTCTACCCTGTCTTATAGGAAAGCTATCAGTTGGAATAAACTCTATGGCAGTGAGTTTGACTGGCTTGTCCAGCCTGAATGGCTCATCTTCTGGCACTCTCTCAACAATGTTCTGCTTCAGTAACTGACAGTGTTTCAATGCGTTTTGTACGGTTTTCAGTGGCTAATTTCTCAGAAGTGGACAGTCTAGTCCTTCTTGTAGTCTGTTCTTAGTCTGTAGGTTCTGTTGGAACCTGTTCGCTTTGGGTGACCTGATTGTGTTTGAAATACCAGTGGCATAGCTTCCAGCAACACAGCAACACATAAGTCACCACAGTATGACAAACAGACAGACAAGTGGTGGAATTAGTTTTCTAGAGGATTTACATTCAACAGCATTCTGTGTAAATCATTATCTACCTTACATTATAAAAATCTCTTTATTGGTTTCATCTGGTATATTGCCCAACATGATAAATTAGAATTACCTAGAAAACTCTATAGTGATAAATAGATTGTTTTAATTTTTTTGTTAAGATTGTATTTTTCTTCACTTTGGGCCTGAAGAGAGAATCAATGAGTGATTTTATAAAAATCAAGATATCTTGAAAAATACTGGAAGTGTCTAGTTAAAAAAAGTAGATTTATTTTGACTTTTATAGTTGATGTAATTGGCCTTGCACCGGGTCCAAAGGCAGTATCATTGATTTTTTCTTTTTTAACTCTAAAACATGTTCACATCTTCCCATAAAATACTTTCTTTTATGGACAATATGAACCAAATATGTCAAAGAAATCCAAATGTTAAAGTTGTGTCTGTTGCAACAAACTTCAGAGTCTATAAATCACAAATAGTTGGAATGACTTAAAGTAAACAGCAGGGTGGTAAATTTTAGGAATACTGTGCATTTTTTCCTCCTTCGTAAGAAAAGAGAGACTACGAGTGTCTTCTACAATGTCCTATATTTATTTAAACGCACCTTCTTCCTCATTCCTGTGACATCTCCTGATGGAAAGGTTTGACTTTGTATTTTCTTAGTTATCTTTGGTTTATTATGTTTTCTCTTGCCCCTAATTTTGAATCAGTAAGTAGAGCAGCAGAAAGATAAACTCAAGGTTAAAGTAATCAGTGGATGACAGCCTGAAATAGCATGTATTATAAAGATTGCATTTAAGAATGGTTCTCTGAAGATTTTATATCTCACTATTGATCTGTTAAAGTTCTCAGGGTACTACATATTCTAGGAGCAGAGAAAATATTTATATATGTATTTCACAAAATTTCTGGTTTGAGACCAGAACATTTGTAGATGTTTAAAAACCTTCATATGGAATGCACAAATTGAGAGTACAAATGAGTATCAGTTCGAATCTAACCAGGAAACAAGCATCTCTTGAGGATTTAGAGGAACCTTTAATGTAACCCCGTGTAGAGGGTTTCATGTTGGACTGTTAACCACAAGGTCAGCAGTTCAAATCCACTAGCCATTCTAAATTGACATAGAGGCAGCTTCTGAGATTTACAGACTCAGAAACCCACTGGGACAGTTTATACTCTTTATTGTTGCTATGAGTAGGTGTGGACTTGATGGTAGTGAGTTTGGTTTTTGTGTGTGTTTGTTTTAATGTGGGGAGATGCTGATAGACTAGCTAGAAGACAAAAAGAGGTTGGTGAAACCATACATACGGATAATAGCAGCAGGAAGTTGCTTCTACCAGAGTCAGAGGGACATAAGGAAAAAGCAGTGCTGGCCCAGATCCCATGAGCCGAGGTTACCCAGAGAGAGTTGGGACTATTGCAGGGTGGTCTAGAGACACTTGGAATCAGAGCTGGGGGTGGGGCGAGCAGGTGCTCCTGAAGACCCGGCTAAAGTCCGAGAAGGGCGTAGAGTAACCCTGTGGCTTTTCCCTTCTTCTTTCCCTTTAATTGCGCCGACACAGGGAACTTGCGTTGCTGCACCCATCGGCAAGCCTGCTGATACGGTGTCTGAGAAGCACAGCGAGCTCTGTGGTCTGGAGCAAATCAGGGGCATGGCAAGGGGCAGATCTGAAAGCAGATAGCTCCAGGCCACACAACTGTCACCAGTAACCAAGAAGCTTTAGTATATTTTTTAAAGTCACACAATTGGGGGGAAACATCTAATTTAGTTGGACAATTTCAGTTTCAGTGTTACATGGCTTCTTATTAATCCCTTTTGTTAAATTACCTTCAAATAAATATTTGCCTAAGCACATTTCATTTTTAAAATTTTATTTACAAAGTTGTAGAACTTAAAACTATGTATTCAAGATCATATTTCAAGGAGAAACTGAATCCTGGTGCCATAGTCCAGGAAGCATTGGATGATCAGTCAGAAGCAGGGCAGTTCAAACCCACCAGATACTGTGGGAGAGAAAGACGAGGCTGTCTGCTCCCATCAAAGTTTACACTTTGGGAAGCCCTGTGTGGAGGGTCACTCTGAACTGGAACCTGTTCATTGGTAGTGGGTGTGGCTTTGGTTTTCTATCCATGCATCTGATGGATAGAGATAGTAGAAAGAGCACTGGAACCAGAAATCCTGTACACCAAGGTTTGAATTGTAGTTTTGTTGCTTACCAGCTTCATAAGCTTGACAAAGTCTTCTTAACTTCTTTTGTGTCTTCATCTGTGAAATGGGAATAATGATACTCATTATTCTTCATGGAAAGATGTGTCAATGTGGAGAGAAAATTGTACATAGGATGTTCTTGTGAAGTTTTCTGAGGCTGTGTAAACAAATGCATTATTTATTTTATACATGGAAAATAATTACTTCACCTTTCTTCTCATGAATGCTTCAAAAACAGTTCTGAAGGGTATCAGTATCTCAAAAGAGTCTATCTATCCACACGCTTTTAATTGCTTCACCTAATGCTTAGTTTAGGTGAGCTTTGTGTTGTAAGATGAATTAGTAAGGATGGAAAACAAAAAAAGTCTCCATTTTAGATAATGCAGATGGAAGAGTTCTTTGGGGATAACAATGCAAGCTGTTCTTCTCTTGTTCCTCTGAATCTAGATCAGAAAAACAGTCCAGACTTCGAAGAACTCTAAAGAACTAACCCTAATAAAACAGCACAAGCAAGTGTGGTGGCAGGAACAGCAAAGGCTAAGGGAACTCAGGTAAGAACTGGGCACAGTGTCAGTCAGAGCACATCAGAACCGTTCAGTATTGTACACCTCTCATCAGAGGGTCAAGGGCTTTCGTTGTTAATGAAACCATCACCATAAACACTGAAAGCTACAGCTTAAACAGGAGCCGAACGAAAGGCCTGTCATTTTTCTCTGTTTCATGTGGAATCTAGTGAATATATTCATGTGGATTTTTCTTTTCTTAAGAAAGAGTTTATTTCTGCTATAATTGTCTATACAAAACAGGCTTCCTTTCCACACGCACACTGTTCACATAGTACCATGTTTTACGCAGCAACGTGGCCTTTGGAAGGTAACCAGGTCAGTATGTGAGGAGTGTGCGTGTTTGCCTCTTGCTCATACTTTCCATCTACAGGCATTATTGTTAAAATTCACTTTAACTGGAAGATGATGCCACGGGATGTTGCCGGTTATATATGTGGAAGTGCATGTAAGGGCTCCATTTTGGTGGGAAAATAGCATTAAAATGTTTTTTGAATCTCCTTGTATCTTTAAAGGTCAACTTGAGACCAGTATGAAGATCATAGGACTCATGGCACCAGAGCATTTGCTCTGTGTCCAGCTCCTGGGCTCACTCCTTTAGCCAATGGTACCAAACCATCTGGGATACTGAATTCCTTCTTGTTGAAGGGATCAAGCTTCTGCTTTAACCCCTAATGATGGTTATTTTATTGAAAATTTCCAGGGTGTGAGTTTCACTTAGGTGATGTAAGCATGGTCCCTTTGTCTGGCTTTCATGATCCGCATACCTTTGATCATTGTTTGCTTAAATGACTTCTGACTCCATCTCTTTCCTGCACCCAAACCTCACTTGTGCGGCTGAAATTGCCAAGTAAGTGGAAATTGGTTATGAAGATGGCAGTCTGAAATTCTGGGAAGCTCTACATTGTTTTCAATGTTCTGAGAAGACAGCTGTCCACCTACAACTTCGGTTCCATCCTGGAAAGATGAGGGCCTGTGCTGAAAGTAAATCCCTGAGGGCTCAAACCCACCCTTCAGTTCGTTAACTTCCTGCAGGTGATTTTACTGCAGCTGAAAATATCTAAAAAGTAGATTAATATGAAGATTCTTCAAAAAGTTCATCAAAAATAGAATGAAAACTCCTGGACTTCCCCCAGGAATTTTTTGAAGCCATCTTGTATATCACCTAACACACAGTTACAAAAAGATTCAGGATGTCCATTAGAAGTAGATCACATGGTCCCCAAACTGGTAGATTTTGACATGGAAATCATTTTAATATTTGACCTCTTCAAGTAGGAGTTTAGGTGCTTAATTTGAGCCTTAGGAGGGCCCTAGGAAACAACCCTGGATTGTGAGTTAGCTAGGGCTGGTATGCAGGTACCCAACAACTGTCAGAAGAATGAGAAATGTCGTCTACTTTATGTTGTGTCTCAGGCATCTTAGGAACAGAAAAATGTGATATGTAATTTTAACAAGATTTATGTAAGCTTCTATCTTTCACCTGTTTACAGAGCACATTCTGGTATAGTTGCCTTCCTCAATTTTAAGACCTGTACCTCATAATAAGCAGCTAATTAACAAAAGTAGGAGTGTCTGGGTGGTGTAGGTAAGTGCTCATTGGAAGATTGGCATTCAAAATCAATGAAAGGAACCTTAAAAGAAGTCCTGTCCTTCAGAAAATCCTTTGGAACAGTTCTACCCTGGACACTTGGTGTCACCATGACTCAGAATTAATGCAGCAATTAGCTTGAGTTTGTTTGCTTTCAAAGCAGAAATAAGGGAGGGGAAAATCTGCCACACACACACACACACACACACACACACACACACACACACACACGAGGGGGTACCCCCCCAAAACAGAATATTTTCCCCAAAGCTTTTTATTTAAAAATTTTTTAACAAAACAAACTTCTCACCTTCGAAGTATTCTCCATTACACTTAAGATATTTGTCAAATCTGCTATTCCATTCTTGGAAATATTTTTTGAACTCATCTGTTTGGATGACTGACAGCTCCTCCCTCTTTTTTTCTTCATCTCTTCTATGCAATCAAACCGCTGTCCTTTCATGGCCCTCTTCATTCACGGAAACAAAAAGAAGTCTTACAAAGTGAGGTCAGGTGAGTCAGGTGCGTGGAATAAGAGAGACATGCTGATTTTTGCCAAAAACTGACCCACTGAGATGGCTGTGTGAGCAGGTGCCCAGGTTCCTTGTCTGCCACAAATCAGGCCCTTTATGTTGCACACTGTTATGCAACCTTTTCAGAACCTCTAAATATAAAACTTGATTAATAGTCTGACCTGGTGGAATGAACTCCACATGCGCTATGCTTTGACATTTTTGTCCATTTGGGAAGTTGACGGACATCCAGAATGACATTTTACCTTTTTTGAAAGGATAAAACCACTCATACACACACTTGAGTTTTTCCCATAGTGCTGTCCTTGTAAGTTGTGTTAAACATCACAACAGTTTCTGCAGCATTTTTCCTGAGCAGGAAACAAAATTTCCCAGTTGCATGCTGTTCTCTTAAATCAGTCATCCCCCAAAACAAGTTTCCCGCAAAACTGCTTTTATGGAAAACTTTTCTGTGACCAGACAGAACCTTCCCAGGCAATGCCACTGGGTGCACTAACTCAGAGCAAGTTGCTCGATGCTCACTTAGTTGGAAAAATGTGTACTATGAAAGCTCTGCCCAGCGGGACTTTCCTCAGCTTTTTGGAGAGTACTCCCTTGGGTATATATATCCTTTTTCTCAACCTAGTGGTATCTTAAATTGAGACTGTGCAACTCCAATTGTCTTTCTTCCTCATTTTCCATCCTTAGTATAAAAAGGTTCTCAAGTGTATTTGGGCAACCCTGTATCTTAACACAAAGCCTATTGCTAAATTCATATGTTTTCTATAATCTCCTAATTATCAATGAGAAAATGATCAAAATTATATAAGTCAAATGCATTCAATAAAGGAAGAGTTCAGGGGACTCCGCTCTACAAATATCACTTGTAGACTGCAGTTTACCACCGAGTAACTTGTCACAGGTTAACCTCGTCTCCTGGAAGAGCAACGGGAAAAACGAGGCCGTGGTAGGATGGTTGCTCTGTCCTTTAAGTGCATTCAGAACAGCTGACTCACTTCAATCCCACAGAGAGCTTACTTTTGCTTCCAGGTCTCCCCGAAAACATTCAAGAAGGTGAAGACAATCCTGGCTCGCTGTTCCTCAGACTGCTCTGTACAAGCTAGGGGATCCAGTGACTATCTTGGGGAACAAAAACTGGTTATCCTCAATTCCACTCTTGACTTCAACAGGTTGTTCTCTGTGACTGCAATCGCAGCTCCACAAGCCTAAAAACTCACTGCCATTGCGTGGATTTCAACTCCTGGTGACCGTATCAGACAGGACAGAGCTGCCCCAGTGAGTTTCCCAGACTGCAACTCTTCACAGGAGTAGAAAGCCTTTTCTTTCTTCCATGGAGGAGCTGGTGGTTTGGAACGGCTGACTTTGTTTTGCTGACCACTAGACCACCAGGGCTCCTCGGCTTCAAAGCGGAGAACCATTGCTGTCAATTTGATATGGTTAGAAAAAGTCAACCACATGAGATGGGAAATCTGAACTGCCAGTTATTTGGGGGGGGAAAATTCATGATTATGTATTTAGAAATGATTAAGGTAACATCCATTTCAGATGTAAAGTCGAATTGGAAATAAAATCCTTTCTTAATGAGGAGAACGTTGGAAATGAATGCCTTTCTGACCTGAAGGATCTCGGTGAGATTTTTGATCCTGCATTCGAAGGGGGTTTTGCTTTGAAGAATGAAATTGAGCAGCTGTTTCATGTTCCTTTAGTAGTGACTGCTCTGCTCGTTTCTTCTTCAAGTCCCACTGCCTTGGAGTAGATTCAGATTCCTAGAAACTCTGCAGAGTGCTTCCGAGGCTGAGCCTCTGTGGGAGCAGGCAGCCTCTTCTCTCTCCCACGGGGCAGCTGATGGGTTTGGATCATCAGCCTTCTGCTTAGCAGTCTGAACATATATCCAGCAGTGCCACCAGGACCCCCCTTTAAAGGAATCCCCCAGTAAAGTGGCATTTTAATAATTGTTCCTGAAGAAACTTAAAATAATTATGCTTCTCTGCTGCATTTTTTCCTCATGATAGAACGACAGCTATCAGAACAATGGTGTGCGTATCTTAAAAACGTGGTAGATCCTATTCAGCAGTTGAGAGCGGATCTTAAATACAGACAGCATCACATTTTACAGCATTCAGACCCACAGACCAACTCAGGGAAAGTGCTGGAAGAGGTTAGTATGTTACTTTTCTTTTTTCCCCCAACTTCCCATTCCCTCCTTTCCCTGGTCCTTGATAACCACTAATCTTCTTTGGGGCTAATGGATTTGTCTGGTCTAGATATTTCATATAAGAGGAATCATATGATATTGGTTCTTTTGTGTCTGACATAATTTCATGTACCATTATATTTTCAAGGTTTACCCACGTGGCAGCATGTATCAGGACTTCATTTCTCTTTATGGCTAAATAATACTCCTTATTGGTATATGCTACATTTTATTTATCCATTCCTTTCTTGATGGACAGTTGGGTTGTTTGCATATTTTAGCCATTATGAATAATGCTGCAATGAGCAGTGTTATACACATATCTATTTCTGTCCCTGTTTTCAGTTCCTATGGCTACATACATAGGGGTAGAATTGCTGAGTCTTTGGCAATTCTGGAATCCCTGTGTCGCACTGCATGAAACTCTGTTAGCCAAAAGGTTGGTCATTTGAACCGCCTAAAGGAAGGAAGGAAGGCCAGACAATCTCCCTCACATAAATCATAAAGCAATACGACTCTGGATTCACCATGAGTAAGCGTCAACTTGACCATAGCTGTTGTTTCAATTTTTCTCTTTGATAGCAATTCTATGGCCCCTTTTCCAGGCACCAACAATGGTTTCTTAACACTATTTCTGAAAATGTAGTAAAATCTCATCTTTGTCCCACTTAAAACAATTTGTGATAAACAAATGTGTATGTTGTACCTAGAAGATTATGCCTACTTCAGATCTTAAAAATATTCTTGAGTCTGTCCAAGAGCCCTCTTTTCTTGCCTGAAGTGGGCTTACCCTGTTTTCATTATTTGCCTTCCTCCTGGAACATTTTTTTTTTAATGTAGAACAGGTCGTCCTCACCCCTGCCGGAAGTCCCTGAAGGGTTCCTACTGGCCTGTGGATTCTTGTCTAGGACAGGCTTCAGTGTCCTCTCCTCGATGACAGTCCCCTTTCCCATATATGACAGTCCCCTTTTCCATAGGAGCTCTGTAACATTCATTCTGGCCATCTTTCTATTCCTCGCATATGTCAGGTTTGGTCTTGTTTTGAGGCATTTGCACCCTTTCTGCTGTCCCATTGATGGCCCTTTCTGTCATTTAGATTTTGGCTTAATTGTCTTGTTGTTCAAGAGGTCTGTCCTATTGGACCTCCACTCAAGTACTTCCTCAATGCAAAAACATGTTCTTCTATTAAATTGGCATTCCATGATGCACAGCTTCCCGCCAGGATCGCTGAAGACAAATGTGCGCATAAGCAAATGTGGTGAAGAAAGCTGATGGTGCCC